TATATATATATATATATATATATATCTATATATATATATATATATATATATTTATATATATATATATATATATATATATATATATATATATATATATATATATATATATATATATATATATATATATATATATATATATATATATATATATATATATATATATATATATATATATATATATATATATATATATATATATATATATATATATATATATATATATATATATATATATATATATATATATATATATATATATATATATATATATATATATATATATATATATATATATATATATATATATATATATATATATATATATATATATATATATATATATATATATATATATATATATATATATATATATATATATATATATATATATATATATATATATATATATATATATATATATATATATATATATATATATATATATATATATATATATATATATATATATATATATATATATATATATATATATATATATATATATATATATATATATATATATATATATATATATATATATATATATATATATATATATATATATATATATATATATATATATATATATATATATATATATATATATATATATATATATATATATATATATATATATATATATATATATATATATATATATATATATATATATATATATATATATATATATATATATATATATATATATATATATATATATATATATATATATATATATATATATATATATATATATATATATATATATATATATATATATATATATATATATATATATATATATATATATATATATATATATTCTTTCTGGCTGTGCCATATTTTCTATATAATTATGTGTTGAAAAGAAATTCCCCATGTAAAAACCCATATGACTCTAACATGTTAGCAGAGTTTTGCGCTTGAAACAAAGGCAAATTATCGCTTATTTAATAAAACAGTGCCTCAATTGCATATTTATAAAACTTCTGATAATATATAGGCTAATACACCTGATAATATATGCTAATCCGCCTGATAACTTCAAATATAGGCTAATTTGCCTCTAAAATTTAAAAATAAATTATTTTTTTTTGGAGAATTTCTTTTTTCTCTTCTAAATATTTCCCAAATGATGTTTAACAGAGCAAGGAAAGTTTCACGGTATGTCTGATAATATTTTTTTCTTCAGGAGAAAGTCTTATTTGTGTCATTTCGGCTAGAATAAAGGCAGTTTTAAAATTTTCAACAACCTTTTTTAATGTCATTATTATTAGCCCCTTTAAGCTATATTTTTTCCAATTGTCTACAGAACAAACCATCATTATACAATGACTTGCCTAATTACCCTAACCTGCCTATTTAACCTATTTACCCTAGTTAAGCCTTTAAATGTCACTTTAAGCTGTATAGAAGTGTTTTTAAAAATCTAGTCAAATATTATTTAATGTCATCAAGGCAAAGATAAAATAAATCAGTTATTAAAAGTGAGTTATTTAAACTATTATGTTTTGAAATGTGTTCTTCTCACAGTTAAACAGAAATTGGGGGAAAAATAAACAGGGGGCTAATTAATCTGACTTCAACTGTATATAAATCTATATATTTTTTTTCTTTTTAAAATGTTTCCAAAATAAAAGAAATAAAAAATAAAATAAAATAACAGAGCAGGGG